TACCCTCAATTGCCTAGACCAGTTGTAGGTGATTAGTGTTAGTGGAGGTGAAGGCAGAGAACCCGGTGTTGTCAAAAGAGGAAGCAATTCTGATGGTGAATAGCAGTTTTCCCTAAATCATCTGTAATGATCACTGCACACCTCCCCATTTTCTTTCTCTTTATGTCCCCAAGGTTCCAAACTTGGCTTAGAATTTTATTTCAGAAGTAAATGAGAGTTATAAGCAACATATCATAATCAAAAAAGCTGAAAACTATGAATTTATACAAACTCATATTAGAATCCCAGGTTTACTTCTTATATCCTAGGAAGTCTGAGGACTTGACCTCTACAAGCCATCAAGTTTCACTTGTAATTTGAGGAAATTAATGCATTACACAAGGGTTATTTTGAGAAATAATTGAGATAATACAATCAAGTATGCTTAGCATCACACAGCTAATGGGCAGTAGAGCTAAAATTTGAAATCAGGGATTTGTTAATTACTTAGCCCATGGGCTAAAACAAGGGCCAGCAAACCATAGCTTGCTGATCAAAGTCAACCTTCTACCTGCCTTTAGAAATAAAGTTTTATTACAATCATGCCTATCTTTAAAAGGGCATTACTTATATGTCTTTCACAATGGCAGAGCTGAATAGGTATAGTAGAGACAAAAATCTAAAATATTTACCATAGTCATATCTTGTTTTATTGCACTTTGCTATATGACACTTCACAGATATTGTATCACTTACAAAGTGAAGATATGTGACAATCCTGCATCAGGTAAGTCTATTACTGCAATTTTTTTTAACAGCATGTGCTCGCTTTGTGCCTCTGTAACACATTGTGGTAATTCTCACTATATTTCAAGCTTTTTCATTATTATTATATCTGTTATGGTGATCTGTGATCAGTGATCTTTGAAGTTACTATTGTAATTATTTGGAGCAACACAAATCACACATATATAAGAAATCAAACTAATTGATAAATCTTGTGTGTGTTCTGACTGCTCCACTGACCAGCTACTTCCCCATCTCTCTCCCTGTCCTCAAGCTTCCCTATTCCTTGATACATAACAACATTGAAATTAGGCCAATTAGTAGCCCTACAATGGCCTGTAAGTATTCAAGTAAAAGAAAGAATCAGGTGTATCTTACTTTAAATCAAAAGCTAGAAATGATTAAGCTTTATTATGAGAAAGGCATGTTGAAAACCAAGATAGGCCAAAAGCTAGGTCTCCTTTGCCAAACAATTAGCCAAGTTGTAAATGCAAAGGAAACATTCTTGAAGGAAATTGAAAGTGCTACTCCAGTGAACACACAAATGATAAAAAAGTGAAACAACCTTATTGCTGATGTGGAGAAAATTTGAGAGGTCTGGATCAAAGATCAAACCAGCCACAGCATTTCCTTAAGCCAAAGTCTATTCCCTAGCAAGGCCTCAACTGTCTTCAATTCTATGAAGGCTAAGAGAGGTGAGAGAGTTGCAGAAGAAAAGCCTGAAGCTAGCAGAGGTTGGTTCATGAGGTTTAAGAAAAGGAGCCATCTTCATTAAAAGTACAAGGTGAAGCAGCAAGTGCTGAGACAGAAGCTGCCGAAAGTTGTCCAGAACATCTAGCTAAGATCATTGATGAAGGTAGCTGCACAAAGAATAGGTTTTCAATGTGTAAGAAGCAGCCTTATACCAGAAGATACCATCTAGGATTTTCATAGCTGGAGAAAAGAAGTCAATGCCTGGTTTCAGTGCTTCAATGGACATGTTAACTCTTCTGTTAAGAGCTAATGCAGCTGGTGACTTTAAGCTGAAGCCAATGCTCAGTTACAATTCTGAAAATCCTAGAGTCCTTAAGAATTATAATAAATATACTCTGCCTGTACCCTATAAATAAAACAACAAGACCTAGATGACAGCACATCTGTTTGCAGCATGGTTTGCTGAATATTTTAAGCCCACTGTTGAGACTGACTATTCAGAAAAAAAGGCTTCCTTTCAAAATATTGCTGCTCATTGAAATGTACCTGGTCACCCAAGAGCACTGAGGGAGAGATACAAGGAGGTTAATATTGTTTTCATGACTACTGACACAACATCTATTCTGTAGCCCATAGATCAAAGAGGAATTTTGACTTTCAACCTTTATTATTTAATAAATACACTTCATAAAGCTACAGCTGCCATACTGCCATAAATAGGGATTTCTCTAGTGGATTGGGGCAAGTAAACTGAAAACCTTCTGGGAAGGATTCAGAAGGTCTATATGCCATTAAGAACATTCATAATTCATGGGAAAAGATCAAAATATCAACATTAAGAGGAGTTTGGAAGAAGTTGCTTTCAACCCTCATGGATGACTTTGAAGGATTCAAGACTTCACTGGAGGAAGTAATTGCAAATGCAGTGGAAATAGCAAGAGAACTAGAATTAAAAGCAAAGCATTCTAATTCTCCTCTTAATAAAAGTGAAGATTTGACTGAATTGCTGGAATCTCAGGATAAAATGAACAATTGAGCAGTTGCTTCTTATGGACGGGCAATGCAAGTGGTTTCTTGAGATGGAATTTACTTTTGGTGAAGAGACTGTGAACACTCCTGAAATAAGAAGAAATGATTTTAAATATTTCACAAACTCAGTAGATAAAGCAGTAGCAGGGTTCAAGAGTACGGACTCCAGTTTTGAAAGAAATTCTACTGTGGATGAAATGCTATGAAACAGCATCACATGCTACAGATAAATGTTTCATGAAAAAAAGAGTTACTCCATATGGTAAACTTCATTGCTGTCTTTTTTAAAGAAATTGCCACAGCCATCATAACCTTTATCAGCTACCACCCTAATCAGTCAGTAGTCATTAACATCAAGATGACACCCTCTACCCATAAAAAGATAACTCACTGAAGGCTTTGATGATTGATAGCATTTTTTAGCGATAGAATATTTTAAAATTAAGGTATATACACTATTTTTTAGGCATAATGCTATCGCACACTTAATAGACTGAATACCATATAGTGTAAATATAACTTTTACATGCACTGGGATACAAAAAAAAAATTGTGTGACTCACCTTATTACAATATTGCTTCATTCCAATATTTGTTTTATTGCAGTGGTCTAGAACTCAACTCACAGTATTTCCAAGGTATGCCTGTATTTGATTTATTGCATAACAAATTTGTCAGTTCCTGGTCTAAAATATCACAATCTACTGCTGGAGTTCCTTGTGGTAATGCTTGAATTTTAAAAAAATATATGAAAAAATAATATAAGGCTTTAAAGACAAATAAAAACTAAACTAAAAGGCATAATAAAGTCTACTTATTTCAGTAAATTAGATAGTATCTGTTTTTATTCATTTTCTATAATATAACTGGAAATTGTATTTGACAGTAATTCAAGTAAGTAGTACTACTAGATACATTCCTTTTCTCTAAGGAGATATCTATCCTAACAATAAATAATTATTATTATTATTACTACTATTATTTTTGAGATGGAGTCTCACTCTGTCGCCCAGGCTGGAGTGCAGTGGTGCGATCTCGGCTCACTGTAAGCTCCACCTCCCAGGTTCACACCATTCTCCTGCCTCAGCCTCCCGAGTAGCTGGGACTACAGGCGCCCACCACCACGCCCAGCTAAGTTTTTGTATTTTTAGTAGAGACGGGGTTTCACCGTGTTAGCCAGGATGGTCTTGATCTCCTGACCTTGTGATCCGCCTGCCTTGGCCTCCCAAAGTGCTGGTATTACAGGCATGAGCCACTGCGCCCAGCCACAATAAATTATTTTAATATGTCCCTACTGGTATAAGGGTATACCACTTATGTATGTATACCACTGTGTGTTATGACATACTATCTAATGATAATACTGCTAATAATAGTTACATCATTGTTAACAAGTTGTCACTCTTAGTTTGACAAGGATTGTTCTGTCAGGGACAGATGGACAATATTACTCAGCTAACCAATTGCTCTTTCTTTTTGTACTGTGTCTAAGACATGTAGCATCCTGTGGAGGATTGGGTATTTCTAGGACAGCCAGATACAATTTAACTGCCTTCCAGTAATCTGAGCACTGCGTTTCACTAAAAAAAATTTCCAAAAATGAGCCACCTGTAGAATTTATAAAGGATGTTCCTTTAAAAATGAATATACTTTAAACTTCTCACATAAATGATTTCTAACACATATATCAGAATTAGCAAGTTAAGATTATCCCTGTAATAGTCCACTTTTGACAAAATCACATGTGAAATAAAAAAGGAAAAAAAAAAAAAAACGCTCCTTGCTGAGTTCCTGCAAAAGATACTGTTTAACTTGTCAGATTGAATTTTTTAACCAAAATTCAAAATAATGGAATAAAAATTAAAAAGCTTAAAAATCAAAGTTAATGCATATCTTCAAATTTGCAACTGATTTACTTATAAGTAAAAAAATCTGCAAAGTTTAATTGATTTTCCACCTTGTATACTGAGAAGTAGTATTTTGTACCTCTTGAATAATTCACAAGTTTGAATCCTAAGGCATACGTGTGTGTGTGTGTGTGCGTGTGTATGTATATATACATATATACTGTATTTATGCCTAATTATTCTGGCAGCAAAGGTCAAAAGGACAAAGTGCCCACAAGTTACAATGGGTTGGACAATTTGGATGGAATGTGGATCTAAATTACTGTGCTACGTTACCTTGTTGAAATCTTATTGCTAAAATTTTGCACTGCTAGGCAGTAAACCGGAAGAAAAAAAAATAGAAATTGAGAAAGTGTTAATTTTTAAGCAAGTTTGACAAAGATTGAGTTTCATATGACAAATATTGTCAGCAAGACAGGATTCTGTCAGTGGAAGAAGTTTAAACATTAACAATTTCTGTCAGGCTGTTGACACAATCATGGCAGACATTTCCCAAGATGCCGAGATGACTGCTGGCATTTGTCAACAATCCTGTCATAGTGACAGCAATAAGACCATGTCTGGAAATGTGACAGTTTTGGCTTTGTGCTCCCCTGAGCAATAGCCCAGGTGTTCAGAGAAAGTGTGGGAAACCCATATTTCTGCATTGTCATTCGAACACAGAAAACACAGGAGGAAAATGAGCTGTCACTCCAATTCCCATGATGCCTTGCTGCTTAGCATAACTCTACAGTGCGGCCCTGGGTCCACTGGTCCATATTCTGACAGATAATTAAGAAAGCAGCAGCTTTTTCTAGACGGCTCTTCCTCATGATTTGCATTTTAGCCAGAGGCGACCAGTTATAAAAAAAACATGATGGAAAGATGGTAAGAAGCCAATTAGATGGATGGATGGCTGACTGACAGCTCTCTGGTATTACGACTCCAGATTTCAGACTACATAGCCTGGCAGTTTTCTACAAGAACCAACTTTTTTGCAGGTTGGTAAAGCTGTTAAATGTGGGACTATATATAGCGCTATATAATTTTTGCAAAGTTGTACATTTTCCTTAAATAAGCATGTATTCTTTTCAATCAGGGTTTGCATTAAACAAGTTTCAACAATTTAATCACAACTTGCACCACTAAATTTAGCAATATTAAAATTCTAGACAACTTGTAGGCACATTAGCTGTGCCAGTAGAGAAGTGATTAAAAAGCTGAGAACTACTTTGAGCCAGCAGAGATAAAGTGAGCTAATAATTACAATGTCTGTGCAAATATGCTTTGGAACTTTGAATTGTACATTGTTTGCTTTCAAGCAAATAAAAACATAGACCTTAAATTTCCTCTCCATCTTTAGATCTTGCACACATATATTTGGTTATTATTCCTGTTCAGGGTATAATATATGCTTGTGTGTCTGTTATTTTAGCTAATTTTGAAATTTTAAAACAATAAACTGTTAGTGTCAAGCTTCCAGTTTGGCCATGATATTCTATAGCTTCTAGCCAATAGGAGTCAACTCTTCACAATATTTTACAATTTAGAAGCTTCACCAATGTTTCCTGTGTGCTGCATGCCGTGTGTGTGTGTTGTGTGATATATATATATATATATCACCACATATATATTCATATATATATATATATCAGACACACACAAACACACGTTGTTAAAAGCAAACAATTTGCTATTAGTTTGGCATGCCTTCATTTGTAGTTTGAAATAAGAGATTTTTCTTTCAAATTGTAAAGATATCTCAGATTTGATTTTGATCTTGAAATATGAAAGGTAGGCAATTGTTTCACTACACATTGAAGTTCCAGTAAGGAATATTAACCCAAAGCAGAAACGTGAGCGTATTTTCTTACTGTGGGTAATGAATCTTCTACAAACTGAGGATAATCATTAAACCAATGGTGGGTCTTAATGTTTTTAGTTGCTTAAAACTAAACGATATACATTTCAAAGTTATTTGTATATCACTCAAACTACACTGATACCAAAATCCACAACACACATAAAGCGTGAGTGATAGCCATTTCTTTTTGTTTTCTTTTTAAACTATACTAATATTTGTCATTTTGCTCTGTTGAAATTAGATATACTCAGCATACTAATAAAAATTCTAAAAAAATGTTCTAACTGTACCTACTTAAAAAGTTTAAACAATTACTCCTTTAAACAAGTTCAAAGGAGTAATTTTTCTCCCATAGACATAATATAATACAAGTAGAAATAGAAATCATCCTGAAGATTTTTAAAGTAATTTTTAAGGAAATTTGTTTTTTTTCAATACCCAAAGCCCTTATACAATTAAAATACTTTTATTATTTAATATTTTACTTCCCTCCTCAAGAACTGCTGAATATAAAGTGCCCCAGTAAAGAAATTATTTAAATAAGGAAAGTTAAAAAGCTTTGAAACATTTGCTCTATGGTTGGATATTTATGCTTGGAGTCTAGCTGTTTTTTTTTTTTTAATTTCCTCATGTCTTCTGCTTTCATCAACTCCTCATACTTTGTATTGAAATTTATTTCACTGTTGGATTATCTTATTTATTGTACAATGGCAATATATCATATTTTCACAAGGTCTTGGGGAAGTTGTGGGGTTTTTTAAATTAGAATTGAAATTTGAGGAACTATGTATTGTATACAGATTTTAAAATACCAACTTCTCTGCAAATTTTCTTTTGTTTCAAACTATGCATTAAGAGACAATTTTTTAAGGGACGATCTGAAGAGCAATATTTACTAAATTGAAATGAGTTCTGAAAATACTAATTTTGAAAATATCACTATATCACTGTAGGTTAAAGAAACATATTTCTAAATAAAAAACAAAGTGTGTTATCATCAAAACAAAACTACATCTCACCACAAAACTCATCAGGTTGTGCCTGGAAAATGTAGTAAAATTCATTGGAGCCTATTGCTACCATCATTTTCATAATAAACTTTGCAAGTTTCTTACAAATTGTTTTTCTTCAGTATATCTATATTTCTAATGGAATATTTGGTTAAAGATTTCCTTTCCTAGTTTCAAAACAGAATTATTTTTGAGACACATTATGAAAATGGCTAATATTTTCTTTAGTGCATTTTATACTGCAAAAAAGTCAAATTATTCATTCAATATTTGTAGGTACTTTCCATAAGTAAAATAACAATTGACCTCAAACATCTTTTAATATCTGTTAAACCATGTCATCAAGAATAATATTGTTTAAGGAACATTTAAAACTCATGTCATTAAGGAATAATGTTGTTTATGTTGAATTGCTCTTTAGCACCTCATATACTTTTCTAACTTTGTAAACACCCAAATGACCCTGCAAACCATCAGTCATAACACACTGGTGAAATATTTGCCTCCTTTACTTATTGGATATAGAGCAGTTTCCAGGAGCCAAGGGATTACATAAAATCTGCTCACTTTCGCTGATTTGGAATGAAGTCTGGCAGTTCATTTACATGTTATTTTGAGAGAGAGAGAAAAAAAAAAAGAGCAGAGAGTATTCAAGGGACAGAGATACTGATAGAAAAAGAAATCAGCAACAACTCTTTGTTATACTATGTTCATAAATTGTGCGGAATTTCATTTAAATGAATGGTTTGAATTATGTAAGAAATTCAACCAATAACAAGGCATAGATACAGAAACCACAAGCTTCCTAAAGACTGGAAATGTCTGTTGATCCCAATAGTCAAACAAATCTTTCTCTCTTCCTCCCTACCCTCTGAGAGTGACTCTTAAATTTCATTTTAAGCACATTGCTGCCTGTCTTGTGTAACAGCTATCTGCAAGTTTTTTAAAGGCAGGGGCTGAAGTTGACTTGTCTTTTTATTGCTGCACCAACAATATCAACTTAGAGTAGAGTCTCAAAAGTGATTGAATTTAATGTAGACTTGTAGAGTCTCAAAGTGATTTAATTTAATGTAGACTTTCACCTGGCTTTGCAGCTATTAGTTCTTGTACCTGAGGCAGGTTAACAACCCAATTGACTAGTTAGTTCCGTGGGCCCAAGTTGTGACTGAGTCAGTGAGTTTTGCTGTATTTCTCAAGCACAAGCTGAGCAAAGTTGAAGCACATGCCTTAGTTGCAAGAGTGGATGAGCAATGATGCTCAAGACTGAATGAGCAATCCATGTTCTAGTCGTCATCATCACATCATTCGATCATTGTAATCTATCATCTGTCTAAGGTTGACCATTGTTAAGCATCTATACTACACAGAATAGTTCTTATACCTATGACTTGTTAACTAGTTAATTGGTTAGTTTCAAGGCAATAGTGATTCCCATAAGGAAAACTATCCTGTGTCTGTAGATAAACATGGTAGAATATTGGTGGTTTCTTACCATATAACACAATTTTATTGAGTTGATCATTCAAACATCCTTGAGAAGTAAACATTTTAATCCTCATTTTGCATATTGGATATCCAAGGAGTTAAGTGACTTTCTCTAGGTCTAATATCTAGTGTGTGGCAAAATAAAATTTGAACTAAAATCTTTCTGATTTTCAAATTTCTCCTCTTTTCATTGTGCCTGACTTTCTTAAAAAATAATTAATATCATAATTGTTAGCATAAAAAGAGGTTTCAATTTTATTGTAGGCATTTCTGGAGAAAAAAAACTTATGAATAAGAAATTAGTAGTGTTGTGTACCTTTGTACATGAGTAGCAACTTTATTTATTTTAATTATGTTATTCTCATGTTCTCAATACAAAACAAAAATTTTCTTATCATCTGCAGAGTTTTGACTTGCTAAATAGGTAAAAATATTTGGACACTAATCTTGTTTATAAATGTAATTTAGGGAGGTAGAAGAATAAATATAAGAGAATAAAATCATAAAGTCTTTACCTTTTTGGATCTCAGAATCTGTTAGAAAAAACACAAATAATTCTAATACAATACTTGATATACATATTAGAATGTCTTTGTGCTCAGTCTTGTTAAGTGATAACACTGACTAGGATAGGAAAGAGAACACTTAAGGTAAGAAGAACAGCCTGAGCCTGAAATATGAGTGACAGTGTCAAATTATCACAAGCATCTAGAGCATAGGGTGAATGCTATGAGGGAGGTTTGTGGAGAGATGACGACGTTGAGAAATAATCCTGGAAAATCAGGCTGGGACAAAATAAAGGAGTCACTTTCTTACCAGACTAAGAAGCTTACACTTTCTTCTAATGGGAATTCATCTCCGAGTCTCACTAGGATGTGATCAGATTTGTGAAATGGAATAATAATTTTAAAAGCAAAATGAAGCAGGGATGGCAAGTAAAAAGTTTGGTGACAGAGAGACCAGTGTGGGGACTGCTTCAGTGGCAGGAATGATGAGTAACTGAGCTAAGACTGTGACAGTGAATTATAGAGATGAAGGTTTTATTACGGCCAGCTCCGCTTGGTAGCATATAAAAAACACCTCAATTCTTTGCAATTTCCTCTAGTTTTCTAACACTGATAGCAGCTTTACTTTCATTAGATTTAGGCCATAAATCTCCTGGTAATTGCCCGATTTGATTGTTAAGCATAGTTCTCTGTCACCAGTGAAGAACTGGAGCCGAAGTAGAAAATGGTTAAGTATTTTCTTCTTCTAGGGAAACAGTTCATTATACTAATATTACTTTTTTTCCATTTTTATTTTTTCAACAGAAGGTCATACATATGCTATTTGAGAGTTCACAGCTAGCCCCTCACTACTCAAATTGTGGGTGTTATTGCCAGACTGCGGAGATGCACAAGAATTGACTTGAGAAGTAAGGAGATTATTCATGCTCCTGCACACTCTGTTATCTCTGGGAGCTCTTAATCAATGCAGGGTGAGAGCCAGTTAGCATGACTGAGGTTAGGGTAAACGGGCTGTTCAGGGAAAAATAAATTAAAATGTGATTATTATTCAAATTGGAATATAAAGAACATAATTCAAGAAGGAAGAGAAGGAGAATAATAGAAATAAATAAAAATGTACCTACTGAATCACTTGC